TTGTATTTGTTATGCTGTTGTGTTGGGCCTCGGCCTCTTGTAAGCCACACCGAGTCCTTCAGGAGATGTTAGCGGGGTATAAATAAAGGTTTATTATTATTATTATTATTATTATTATTATTATTATTATTATTATTGAAGGGACCCCAAAGGCCATCTAGTCCAACCCCACGTTGTGGGAGAATGCACAATCCGAGATGCTCTCTGCTACCTTGGTCCTGGTTCTCATTTGCCAAAGATTGGAAGGTACAAACCAGTGTCTTCTTCTGCCCTTAGGATTGCAAAAACCGTCCACTTCTTCTCAAGGGAAGGTGACACGAATGCAAATGGAAACTCCTGAGACTTTTGCTTCCAAATATTTAGACAGAGGTGGATTATTCCTTGGCCCGGCGAAGGGTTGGTATGGAGAGCAACATGTGGGGAATTAGTCAGCAAAGATAATATTTATTCTATCTCCTGGACCTTCCGGAGTTTCTGGTGTGTGGGTTGAAGTTTGGTTGGAGTGGAAGGGAAGAGGACGCGAGGCGCAGGTGTTTCGATTGACATCCTATGGAGCTGTCCACTTGCAAACGGGTAGCAAAAGGGGAGAGGAGGGCCGGAAGGACCTTGGCAGGACAATGGACTAAATCTGCTGTTGCTTAGCCTGTTTCTCCCATCCCTTCTTTCACAGCTAGAATCATAGAATCTTAAAGAGACCCCCAAAAACCATCCAGTCCAACCCCATTCTGCCCTGCACACAATCTAACCCCTCCAACAGACAGCCACCTCACCAGCTTCGTGGGAAATCTGCTACAAAACAGGAGCTTTTTTGTTGAGTTCCCGGGTCAGAAAAGCAGATGGCGGAAACGGAAAACAGCCTGCCTCAGGGGAGTGTGCTCACTCCATCAGTGTTTAACATTTACACAAATGATCAGCCACTGTCAGAAGGGATAGAGAGTTTCATCTATGCTGATGATCGTGCCATCACCACCCAAGCAGGGAGCTTTGAAATGGTTGAACAGAAGCTCTCTAGGTGCTCTTACTGCCTACTCCAGGGAAAACCAGGTGATTCTTAACCCATCAAATACACAGGCATGTGCTTTTCACCTTAAGAACAGACAAGCATCTTGAGTTCTGAGGATGACCTGGGAAGGAATCCCACTAGAGCATTGCAGCGCACCCAAATACCCAGGACTTACCCTGGACCATGCTCTGACTTCTAAGACACAAAAAGTGGGTGCTAGAAATAACATCGTACGAAAGCTGACTGACACAAAAGGTTGTGCACCAGCAGTGCCCGTACCTTGTGAAATCAGACTTGGCCACAGTAGTCCATGGAAGTCCATGATCTGATTACATTCCCCTGCAAGGAAGGAAGGAAGGAAGGGAGGGAGGGAGGGAGGGATGGAGGGAGGGAGGAAGGAAGGAAGGAAGGGTGGAAGGGAATGGAGGGAGGGAAGGAAGGAACAGAGGGAAGAAAATGAGAAAGAAGGAAAGACAATAGGGAAGGAAGGAAAGAGAAAGAAGGAGGGAAGGAAGGACGAAAGGGACAGTGGAAGGGAATAAACGAGGGAGGGAGAAAGACAGAGGAAGGAAAGGAAAGAGATAAGGAAGGGTGGAAGGGTGGAAGGGAAGGAGGAAGAGGGAGGGAAAGAGGAAGGAAGGAAAGAGAGAGAGAAAGAAAAGAAAGAAGAAAGAACAGATAAAGGAAGGAAGAGAAGAGAGAGGGAACGAAGGACGAAGGGGTGGAAGGGAAAGAAGAGAGAGAGAAAAGGGAGGAGGAAGGAAAGGAGGAGGAAAGAGGGAAGGAAGGAAGGAAGGGAAGGAAGGAAGAGAAAAAGGGAAGGAAGGAAGGAAAGAGGAGGGAAAGGAAGAAAGGGAGTGGAAGGAAGAAGAGGGAGAGAGAAAGAGGGAGGAAAGGAAGGAAAGAGAGAAGGAAGGGTGGAAGGGAAGGAGGAAGAGGGAGGGAAAGAAGGAAGAAGAGAAAGAAAGAAGGAAAGACAATAGGGAAGGAAGGAGAAAGGAGAGGGAGGAAACGAAGGATGAAGGGGAGGGTGGAAGGGAAGGAACAAGGGAGAGAAAGGGGGAGGAAGGGAGGGAAAGAGATGGAAGGATGGAAGGGAAGGAGGAAGGAAGGGAGAAGAAAGAAGAGGAAGGACAAAATTGAGGGAGGGAAGGAAGGAGGAAGAGAGAGGGAATGAAGGACGAAAGGGAGGGTGGAAGGGAAGGAACGAGGGAGAGAGAAAGAGAGGGAGGGAGGGAAGGGAAGAGAGAAGGAAGGATGGAAGGAAAGGAGTAAGGAAGGAAAGAGAAAGAAAGAAAGAAAGAAAGAAAGAAAGAAAGAAAGAAAGAAAGAAAGAAAGAAAGAAAGACAATAGGGAAGGAAGGAGAAAGAGAGAGGGAAGGAAAGATGAAAGGGAGGGTGGAAGGGAAGGAACGAGGGAGAAAGAGGGAAGAGAGAAGGAAGGATAAGGGAAGGAGAAGAGAAAGGGAAGGAGAAGGAGAGAGAAAGAAGGAAGGAAGGAAAGACAATAGGGATTGAAGGAAGGAGAAAGAGAGAGGGGGGAAGGAAGGAAGGATGCAAGAGTGGAAGGGAAGGAGAAAGAAGGAGGGAAGGAGGAAGGAAGGAAAGAAAGAAGCAAAGAAGGAAGAATGGTGTGAGAGAGGAGGGCCTGAGAAAAGAGCCCAAGTGGGTGCATCTGGCCCACAGTCCTGGGTTTGCCCATACCTGATTTAAACACTTTTTTGACCCCGGTTGTCCTTTAATGATATCCTCCCATCAGAGTAGCCTTCATTTCTGAGGTAATCCTAGAGCAACCATATTACAGTGCTTTCTGGGGCTGAGACAGTGTGACCCATCCAAGGTTCCTGATTGGGCAGTCATGACTGAACTGGGATTCAAACCCAGGTCTTCAGAGATATAGTCAAACAACTAAGCCATGTTGCTGAATGAAAAGTCGAATGATAACTCATGGCAACATTGCATGACCAAAGGTACAATGCAATGATCAATGGAATTAGCGTCACCGATTTCGGCAGTGACTAATGGTCAAGGCATTGGACAAGTGCCTCCAAATTGCCGCTGTTCATCCACTTCTGACACTTTCGCACTGGATGAGGATGTTGTGCAATGAACAAAAAAGTACAACTATTTACGGAGGGGAGGTTGCACAACATCGAGATGAGACACCCATTTGCCTAAGTGGTATGGTCATCTGGGTGCATGGCAGATGAGGACTCCTGCCCATCCAAAGGCATAGGGAGGACCTCGATTATTGTTTCTTCCTTAGGTGAAAATGGAAAATAATTATTTTGCAGGCCTGCTGTAAACATCTATGTCCATATCTATGTCCACAAGTACTCTTGTGGTGCATCTACACTGCAAAATCAATGCACATTGGACCTCACACTTTAGCAACCATGGTTCAGTGCTATGCAGTATGACAGCCTTTCGCTTTCTCAACCAGAGTACCTTGCCAAACTACAAATCCCATGATTCCATAGCACTGAGCCGTAGATGTTAACGTGGGGTCAAACTGCATCTGACTAGCCATCCACTGCCACACATTGCTGTGGCCCAGTCTGTATATATGTGTTTTGTGTGTATATATTTGTGTATGTGTATATATGTGTGCGTTGGAGTTCAGCCTGTGATTGTGTTTCAAGATCAAGGTGCTTTAGTTGTGGGGAATGATGTCAGTGAAGGTCAAGATGGCAATGGTTTGGTCAATGATATCAATGCAGAGAATGACGTAGAGACACCGGTTCAAAGTGTAGTTTCCCATGAGAATGTTCCTACAGGGTATAGGAATGATAGTTTATTCTCCAAATTGCTCCCAGAGAGTTCTCAGGATTTGGGGCTTGGAAACAACTTGGCACCTGGAGAAACTAATGAGCATATAGACAAGTGGGTGGAAATAAGCCAAAACAGGCAGCTCGGCCAAGGCCTTCAGCGTTCAGCCAGGCTTCGGCAGATAAGGATGAGAGGCATTCAGGGAAAACGAATCCAATTTCTGAGTTTTAATGTTTACATGACGATTCAAAACAGTAGCAAAATGACAGTTATGTTTGGGGGTCACCACAACATAAGGAACTGTATTAAGGGGTCATGTAATGTGAAATAATTATATTGTTCTGTCGCCGCTGGGCTTGAAACAAAGTGCTTTTTACACAGGACATGCAACTTTAGCCCATCGGGAAGCCAGGGGACCCAAAAAGAAGCCTTTAGAGAATTTTCCCTCATTAAACAGTCTTTAGAAGGCTTGAGCTTAAATAGAACAGTCTTTTATTGATGAACAATTAAACAGAAACTTCCTTTGTCTTCAAAATTAAACAAATGCTTCCAGGCTTCAAGCAACTGGCGGCTTCTAACTGTTTCTTTGCTTCATTTTCAAGGAAAATCCCCATTCTAGCTCCTCCCAGGCTACTGTGAACCTAAACCTGACTGATTTGAATCCACTACTGGCTGAACTGCCTCTCAAAACTGAGCAGACGTACCAGCAGGCTTGTAGTCACTTAGCTGGAGATTTTAATGATTAGAGCTGTTATTCCCTCCGGAATTGTTCTCCCCCGGGAAGTCTTAAGGGTTGAAGCCTTTGTACAGGAGAACGTCTGTACACATCCTGCGCATTGGTTTCCTTTGCTGAGACTAACTGAAAAATGGCCCCTTCCCTCCAAAAATCCAAAAAGGGGCGGGACCAGGGAACCTAACTATAATTGACAGGTGGCTTGCCCTATGAATGCAGCCAGAAGAAATCACCTATCTGCAGAATCCCTGAAACTTAGGACTATAAACAAACAGTGCAAAGCAAACAAATTTGGAGCTCCTGGAACAGCTGTTCCAGAAAAGATATGAATCAGACATAATAGTAGCAAACAAAAATAATGTGCTGGTTGGGGGTCACCACAACATGAGGAACTGTATTCAGGGGTCACAGCATTAGGAAGACTGAGTAACCCTGGTGTAGATGCTCCCCCAACCCCTTTAATTCAACCTTGGCACAGACAGAGAGATGCACACGCTATATAAACTCATCCTTTATTTCTACAGCTTCAAAGATTCACAGTATTGCCTTGCAATCGGTCCAAATCCCATGCACTTAATGCTAACAGGCACCGTGCATGTGAATGGTCAAGCGCCATTCATGTTTGGGAACACTACAGGGATTCCAGGGTGCCCAACATGCAGGTTGGCACTGTATTCGTGCCCATCATCCGTTGCTCTGTCTTCTTTCTCTGTCCTTCTTTGGAGGCTGAATGCCATGAGTCCTTGGTCTCCTTCCAAGGGCACATCCAACCCAACTTTTCGCCATTGAGGATGCAGCGCATTTCGACCGGAAAGGATGTGCCAATATTGGGCATGTGTTGACTTCCCATCTGTGGAACCAAACTTGGCATCCTTTCGGAGACGGCTGCAGACTCAATCCTCGGACTCTCCAGCTCCATGCAAACCTTCCCCTTCCATGGAAGGATGCCGCACCAATGCGCCTGCCCGTATCGGGTTGCCACGGCCCGCTCTCAGCAGACGGAATGGTCTTGGAAAGCGATGCCGTCCTGCGTGCCCAACGTGGCGGACACCTTCTGCGCCCGGGGCCAATGCGGCCACCATGGGTGGTGGCAGAAGAAGTTCCTGAGGCCGCGGAAGACGGCGTTGCGGAAGATGATGAAGAGCCAAGGGTCCACGATGGGGTTGAGGGCGCTCAGGCGGAAGGCCAGCATGTCCTCGTCTTCGTTGTGGTCCGGGCTGAGCCCCCCGATGTAGGCCCGGATCTGGAGGAAGGGAGAAGAGCGTGAGCCACTTTTCAGCACCACATCAATGCTCAGTGCATGTAAACTGGTCTCAGTCATAGCTTCTGAAATGGCGTGTCCCAACCCTAAATGGATTCCCTTTAGCTCAGTGTTGGGGTCCTATTCTTTCTTTATTTACTGTATTTGTATTCCGCCTTTCTCAGCCTGTCGGCAACTCAAGGTAGATTTCATGGCGGGTCCTAGAGTCATCATAGAATCCTACAGTTGGAAGGGACCCCCAAGGGCCATCCAGCCCAACCCCATTCTGCCTAGAAGGAAGGGAAGGAAGGAGAGAGAGAGGAGAGGAGGAGGGGGGAAGGAAGGAGGGAAGGAAGGAAGGAAGGAAGGAGGAAGGAAGGAAGGAAAGGAAGGAAGGAAAAGAAGGAAGGAAGGAAGGAAGGAAAAGAAGGGGAAGGAAAAAGGAAGGAAGGAAAGAAGGAAGGAAGGAGGAAGGAAGGGAGGAGGAAGAAGGAAGGAGAGGAAAAAAGGGAGGGAGGAAAAAGGAGGAAAGGAAAGGAGGGAAGGAAGGAAGTAGGGAAGGAAGAGAAAGAAAAGGAGGGAGGGGGAAAGAAAAGGAGGAGGGGGAAGGAAGGAGGGAAGGAAGGAAAAAGGAGAAGGAAGGAAGAGTAGGAGAGAAGAAGAAAAAGAAGGGAAGGAAGGAGGAAGGAAGAAAAGAAGGAGGGAAGGAAGGAAAGAAGAAGGGAAGGAAGGAAGGAAGGAGGAAGGAAGGAAAGGAAGGAAAGGAGGAAGAAGGAAGACAGGGAGGGGAGAAAGAAAAGAAGGAGGGAAGGAAGGAAAGACAGAAGGAGGGAGGGAGGGAAGAAAAGAAGGAAGGAAAGAAGGAAAAAAGGAGGGAGGGAGGAACCATCAAAACCCTGCGTAGCTAGAAATGTCAACAGGTCTAAATCACTGCTTCTTAAACTTAAATTTAGCTCATTTTGGGCTCTTATCATCATCACCACCATAGAACCCTAGAGCTGGAAGGGACCCTAAGAAGGGATCTCCAAAAGGCCATCCAGTCCAACCCCATCCTGCAGGGAGGAAGGAAGGCACCACCCAAACCCTCCCGACAGAAGGCCATCCTTTCCGGAGCAACAGAAAACTGGCTTGCCCCTTTCTCAATGGGGCATCCTCTCAGATATTTGGGCCCAGATTATTTTTACTTCTTCTGATGAGAAAGGAAGTAAAGGAAGTTGTTCTCGTTGTGAGCAAGCCTTGTCTCGGGGGTTGTGAAAGGGTTTCCAATGGGGAAATGAGACCGAAACCGAATGAAAAGCAAGGCAAGTTGCACAAGTTGGAGACTTCCTCATAAGTGAAGAACCTATGAATAATACCCGAGGCGGTTGTGTGGCCACCGGTGTGGAGGCCTGACGTAAAAGGTGTCCAGATCTCAAACCTGCCCACCAATAACACCTATGTCTACCTGGCCAAGTGGCGAGTCATGGCGTCCAAAATCACCCCAAATGTGTGCCGTTGCCATTGCTTGAAACGTTGATTGCAAGGCTGCCTTTTGTTGGCGGCAGCGCTGTGTGCAAACACTCAGAAGGGTCTGAGCTTTATCACTCTGCTCTTAATCTAATGCTTTCCTTGTGCCAAGAGAGTCTTTGGCACAAAGAACAATTGGGTTATTCTCTTTGGGACGTGGGCGCAACACAACCAGAAAGAGGTCCAGGCTGTTTGGGAAATCAAGTTCTCAAAAAACCCAATGGGAAATTATAGAATACTTGTATTGGAAGGGACCCCTAAAGGCCATCCAGTCTAACCCCGAGTTGGCAAAAAGACACAATCCGATCCCTCTCGACAGATGGACATCCAGCCTCGTACTGAATCATAGAATACTGGCATTGGAAGGGACCCCTAAAGGCCATCCAGTCCAACCCCCCAGTCGGCAAGAAGACACAATCCAATCCCTCCCGAGTGATGGCCACCCAGCCTCTTGAATCATAGAATACTAGCATTGGAAGGGACCCCTAAAGGCCATCCAGTCCAACCCCCCAGTTGGCAAGAAGACACAATCCAATCCCTCTCGACAGATGGCCACCCAGCCTCGTATTGAATCATAGGTTACTAACATTGGAAGTGACCCCTAAAGGCCATCCAGTCCAACCCCCCAGTTGGCAAGAAGACACAATCCGATCGCTCCCAACAGATGGCCATTCAGCCTCTTTTGAATCACAGAATACTAGCATAGGAAGGGACCCCAAAGGTCATTCCCAGGAGGACACCATCTGATCCCTCCTGACAGATAGCCATCCAGTCTCTGTTGAATCATAGAATACTAGCATTGGAAGGAATCCCCAAAGGTCATCCTGTTCAACTCCCAGGAAGACACGATCTGATCCCTCACAACAGATGGCCATCCAGCCTCTCTTGAATAATAGAATACTAGCACTGGAAGGGACCCCAAAGACCATCCAGTCCAACCCTGAGTTCCTCCCGAAATATGGACATCCAGCCTTTTTTGAATCATAGAATACCAGCACTGGAAGGGATACCCAAAGGGCATCCAGTCTAACCCTGAGTTGGCAGAAAGACACGATTCAATCCCTCCTGACAGATTGCCATCCAGCTTCTTTTGAATCATAGAATACCAGCATTGGATGGAACCCCCAAAGGTCATCCTGTTCAACTCCCAGGAAGACACGATCTGATCCCTCACGACAGATGGCCATCCAGCCTCTCTTGAATCATAGAATACTCATACTGGAAGGGACCCCCAAGGGCCATCCAGTCCAACCCCCATTTGACAGGGAGACACAATCCGATCCCTCCCGACAGATACCCATTCAGTCTCTGTTGAATCATAGAATACTAGCATTGGAAGAGTCCCCAAAGGCTATCCAGTCCAACCCTTAGTGAGCAGGAAGACACAATCCGATCCCACACGACAGATGGCCATCCAGCCTCTGTTGATTCATAGAATACTAGAATTGGAAGGCCACCCAGTCCAACTCTGAGTTGGTAGAAAGACACAATCCAATCCCTCCCACCTGATGGCCACCCAGCCTTTCTTGAATCATAGAATACTAGCACTGGAAGAGACCCCAAAGGTCATCCAGTCCAACCCTGAGTTGGCAGAAAGACACAATCCGATCCCTCCCACCTGATGGCCATCCAGCCTTTCTTGAATCATAGAATACTAGCATTGGAAGAGGCCACAAAGGTCATCCAGTCCAGCCTTCAGTTGATAGAAAGACACGATCCGATCCCTCCTGACAGATGGCCATCCAGCCTTTGTTGAATCATAGAATACTAGCATTGGAAGAGACCCCAAAGGTCATCCAGTCCAACCCTGAGTTGGCAGAAAGACACAATTCAATCCCTCCCAACAGATGGCCATCCAGCCTCTGTTGAATCATAGAATACTAGTGTTGGAAGAGACCCCAAAGGTCATCCAGTCCAACCTTCAGTCGACAGAAAGACACAATCCGATCCCTCCGGACAGATGGGCACCCAGCCTCTGTTAAATCAAAGAATACTAGCATTGGAAGGCCATCCAGTCCAACTCTGAGTTGGCAGAAAGACACAATCCGATCCCTCCCGACAGATGGCCATCCAGCCTCTGTTGAATCATAGAATATTAGCGTTGGAAGAGGCCACAAGGGTCATCCAGTCCAACCCTGAGTTGGCAGAAAGACACAATCCGATCCCTCCCGACAGATGGCCATCCAGCCTCTGTTAAATCATAGAATACTAAGATTGGAAGGCCATCCAGTCCAACTCTGAGTCGGCAGAAAGACACAATCCAATCCCTCCCGGCAGATAGCCATCCAGCCTCTGTTGAAGCATAGAATACTAGCATTGGAAGAGACCCCAAAGATCATCCAGTCCAACCTTCAGTCAATAGAAAGACACAATCTGATCCCTCCCGACAGATGGCCACAACATCTAGAGAAGATTACTGCACTGGCTACTATTGCACAAGAGATACTCGTGCGTTGTAATGTGTGAACATGGACCCTACAAAACTATTCAGTTCAGTTTTGTGTCCATTTATGAAGACCGAAGTCCCAAGCAGAACGCTCGTCTTGGAGTGGTGGCTGATGACTCCGGGTTCGAATCCTCGCTCGGCAACAACAACAACAACAACAACAACAACAACAGGAGAGAAGCAGAAAGCAGATCTCTCAGGCCTTCCTGCTCATAATATAATCAAACAACATCCAAATCCCAGCTGGAGTTTTGATGGCTTTGCACCCTGGAGGCAAAGTGCTCGGTGCTTCCGTTGTGTGACCGTAACGCATACCAAGGATGATTGTCCACCATGTTTTTATGACTCTGGGTTTAATGAGGTCGTTGAATAATTGCAAAACAACAATAACGATCTGATGGCACGGATTCAAGTTTGCAGGCTTGTAGGCTCAGAGTCATAGAATAGGTCTAGGCCAGGCATGGGCCAACTTCGGCCCTCCCTCCAGGTGTTTTGGACTTCAACTCCCACAATTCCTAACAGCCGATAGGCTGTTAGGAATTCTGGGAGTTGAAGTCCAAAACACCTGGAGGGAGGGACGAAGTTGGCCCATGCCTGCCATAAAGCAAAAGGAACCTTCACTTCCAAACATGATACAAACTTTGTAATTCCCGGGACAATAAAAAAATAAAGCACGCACAAGGGCTTGCTTTGCAGGTGCGGCTTTGTGTATTTACCCGTTGTATCTTCACGGTCAATATTTGGATTAGCCGCATGCCATTCTTGAAAAGTGGCGTCTTACGTGCCTCCATCGGCACTGCCATATAATGCATGATGTGGTCAGTGTAGACTCATACAAGGGTTGAATGAAAAGTAATGCTTCCACCTTCATAACGGATGGCAGTACTGTTATGCGGCAGGTACTGGCTTGTTCAGTAGACGCTCCTCTACAGTTCCATTTTGGCAGGAAGCCTTAGCATTGAACGGTTGTGTTGTTAAAGTGAAAAGTAATGCCTCCACCTTCGTAACTCCTCAACAGATGGCAGTACTGGTATGCGGCAGGTACTGGCTT